AGAGAGAAAGAGTTAACATCCACTTATACATATCATTTAGGCTAAAAAAAAAATGATCATTATCTCTCACCTATGAATAATTGAAATTTATTTATTTTTCTTTTTTTCAAATATAATTACCTTTTCTTTATTTAAAAAGTCACATTAAATTTTAACCATTTGTAGTGGAGAGATGAATGATCAAGATTTTGTAAAACTAATATATGTAGAAATTGTGTAAAAATTAATCCTCTCTTTATATATACAAAAATATCCTCTCTCTTTTTCAATTTAGCCTGCATGCAATTTTGGATTATTAGAATATTTAAATACTCTTCTTGAATAAAGTTTATTAAAAACATTTTAGTATTAATTTGAACTGTACTTTTTCTTGTAGTCTCTACTAAAAAAGAGATAATATTATAGTTATAGTACCATATAATTCTATATGCTTATAATTATAAACTGGCATTAAATAAATAATTATAAAGTGATATTAAATAAATGTGATATGTCATTAAATAAGTAGATTTATACAATATTACAAGTAGATTTTGAGTGAAAAAAAGTCAATTATATAATAATAGATTATGTTGTAAACTTATAATATCATATAATATTATAATTATATTATCTTTGCTCATAATAATTTAAGAAAGCAAAATAGGAAAAAAAAAGAAAAAAGATGCTATTGATGTGTTTAAAGCCAAACGGATAGACTAAATTGTAAAGGATGTCTTTACCATAAAAAAGAAAAAGAAGATGGTAAAAGCATCTTTTACCAAAAATATATATAAAAAATAAAAAGGGGTAAGGGTTGTGATAAGCCCAACCCATAAAATATCCCCTCTTTAACCTATGAAATCTTATTAATCTCCATTATTCTAATTTTCAATTATTAGTAAAGGAAAATTGTCACAATGATTTGCTTTTTTTATCAAAAAACTTTTTTAGAATTAGGGTGTCTATTTTTTTTGGGGGGGGGGGGGGGGGCGAATAAGGATGATTAAATTAAACAAACATTAATCTACAGTAGGAGTTACTGGGAAATTCATATCCCATAATATCTAAAATACAAAATATTTTGACATTTTTGGGACATCTAAGGAAGAATTAAGGTTTCTTTTGCTAATTTTTGAACACCTTAAGACTAATTTTTTTCCAAATGATCTTAAATGCACACACCACATGAATTTGCTGCATTTAAGGATTTAATTTCCTAGAATGCCAACTTCAAGACTTTAACCATAAATCTAACTTATAAGACAATACTTGTTTACTAATGAATTCAATCATTGGAGTTACAACAATTTGTTAATAATAAATCAAGAAAATAACCAATAATCAAGTGATATTATCATATGTATTAAACGAATATATATCAAATTACGTGACAATAGTCATTTTTTGAATTTTTTTCATATATTAAGAATTTAAGGACAATGACAATATATGTATTTATTTATATTATCCTTATCCTTACTAAAAGATAAAATAAAAATTTTTGTAACAAGATAAATAATTAAAATTAAGGAATCATAATAATATTAAAGTAAGAAAAAAACTACGGTAGTTACCTCCTTAACAAAATGAAAAATGAAAAATCATTTAGAAAAGTTTGTTAGCATAAAATCTTATAGCTTAATTGATAAATCCACATTTACATATTCACATCTTGGAGATACAAGTTTTAACTTCATTCCTAATACAAATAAATAAATAAATAAATAATGTATCAGATTAAATACTTTTACAAGTAAAAAATACCTTAAAAACTTTAATATCACTAAATAAGAATGAAATTTGCAAAAGAAGCTAAATCTCTTAACTTTTTAAGAAATATATGAAATAAGTAGAATTTAAATATATATGAAGAAATATACTACCATAATCCTCCATAAATCTCATTTCCTTTTTGAAATATATATAATTTTTGTCAATATATTTAAATAGAAAGAAATATATAATGTAGATATGCTATAAAAATTATGATAAATTTCAATTATGAAAAATAATGAGATAAATTATTAAAATTTTATATAAATGTAAATAGATTCTGTCT